TAGAGACAAATAATGCCCCGCCCCACCCTCCTCTTCTCCAGGCTAAACAGCCCCAGTTCCCTCAGCCACTCCTCACAGGACTTCTTCTCCAGACCCTTCACCAGCCTGGTTGCTCTTCTCTGGACACGTTCCCGAGATTTAGAAGCTAGACTTTATGGCCGACAAAGTGTTTCATGTCACACTTCTCATAATTATTGTTAAAACGCTAATAACCATTCTCCTGCATAAAAAGGCCCTACAAATCAGGTGTGCTCCCTCCTCTTGGGGGGGATGCCTTCCAGCACCGCCCCTTGGAGGAGAACCGGCGAGCCTCATGGCCCCTGGCTTAAGCTACTCCCCAAGGACGGGTGAGGGTGCTGACATTTCGGGTTGCCGGGAGTTGCCCAGCGCAACCCTGTTCCCCCCGACAGCCCCGCGCCTCATCCCCCAGCCGCGGACGGTTGCTGGGGACGGTGTGCTCAGCTGCTCGCTCCATCTCCCCCCCTCTCTGGGGCCCTCCCAATCCTTAATTCAGCTAATTAAACCACTGGCACCGCAGCAAAACGGAAGCCCTTGGGGTTATATAGAATCATAGAATGGTTTGGGTTGGAAGGGACCTTAAAGATCATCTGGTTCCAACCCCTTGCCATGGGCAGGGACATCTTCCACCAGCCCAGGGTGCTCAGAGCTCCATCCATCCTGGCCTTGAACACTGCCAGGGAGGGGGCAGCCACAGCTTCTCTGGGCAACCTGTGCCAGTGTTTCACCACCCTCACGGTGAAGAATCTCTTCCTAATATCTAATCTAAATCTGCCCTCCTTTAATTTAGAGCCGTTCCCATATAGAAAATGCACACGACACATAGGAATGCACACGCGTATCATTCTATTTCTTACGCCTCCGTATGTATTTTGCGCTTCCTCAGCAGCCCTGTAACGTTATTATTTTCCACCTGGGCAGAGCCGAAGCTCCGGAGGCCGAGTGCCGATCCCGCCGGGGCCGGCAGGGCCTTCCCGGGGCCGGGCCGCGGTACTCACGGAGGATCTCAGCAGCAGCAGCGGGTCCAACACGTCCGCCCACAGAAGAAACCTCTGCAAAAAAGACTGACGGAGA